ATCCTTTCTCTCCCTCCTCTGCCACCACACTTGACGTATGCACCTGTGTACGCTTCTAATGGAGCCCTAGCCCATATGCCATTGGGCCCGATGCACTCCTCTGGTCAGGTGGACCTTAACTCACGGGTTGATCAGCTCACACAAAGGGTCGACGATCAGAACAACCTGATTGGCCAGCTACTCAGACAAATCAACTTGAACCAAGGCCCTAACCTTGGATCCCGTGACGAGGAGAGGAGGACGCACGAGCATGTCAACAAGCAGTTCCAGAGGTCCCAAGCCGGACAGGCAAACGGGCAGGGGAGAGAACGAGATCGTGCTGATGAGACGCAGACATCTGCAAGTCGTACTCTGAGCCGGTCGACGATCCGTTCGAGGTTAGGTCCAAGGACCAATGTACGCAAAAGGCTGGGCCCACAGTCCAATGTCCATGCCCGCTTGGGCCCACAGTCCAATGTCCACGCCCGCTTGGGCCCACAAGGAAGTAACCAATCCAGGCTGGGCTCACAAAGAGCTCGAGTTCATGAACAATCGCGTGACGAGCGCAACAATCGATGCCCACCAGCCCGCTCGAGGACCAACACACGGCAACAAGCCGTGGAGGACTCCTCACAAGCTCAATCTCCTAATCTGCCCCACGGGCAGAACAACCAAGAGGATCGACCCTTGGGAACCGAGGAGGAAGTTGACCAGCGGCGCTCGAGACACCGAAGACATCGACCCGAACCACCAGCCTTGCGGGCAGAAGATGTTGAGAAGTTGGTGAATGACCGACTCCAAAGTCTCCAACTTAAAGGAAGCACGGATGAGGCCCTGCACAAGGAAATTGATCGAGTCGACTGCTCACCCTTTACCGAGGAAGTGGAACGAGCTCCACCGCCAAAGCGGTTCATAACACCATCCATCACTCCGTTCAAGGGAGACTCCGACCCTGAGAGCCATTTGAGGCACTTTAAGAGTGCCATGATCCTGTACAAGGCAGACGACGCCCTGATGTGCAAAGTGTTCGCGATGACATTGAGAGGAGCAGCTCAAGACTGGTTCCACACTCTACCGTCCGGGTCGATAGGCAACTTCAAGGAGCTCGCCCTCATCTTCACAAAGGAGTACACCTCCTACAAGACGGTCAGAAAGCATGCAGACCACTTGTTCAACCTGCACAAGAAACCAGACGAGTTGCATCCTAGGATGCAATGACCAAGTTGCATCCTCAGCTTTCAAAAAAGGCTTGCCAACCGAACACGAGCTATACCGTGAGCTGGCCATAACTCCAAGCCAAACCTTGGCAGAGGTCTTCGCGATGGCAGAGCGCTACGCACTTTGGGACGACGATCGTATTGCGGCAAAAAAAGCCGGCAAGCAAGCTGATCACCCGACAAAGCAGGCAAGCCAAAAAAGCAACAAGTTCGAGCACTAAGCCCGAGACAAGCGCAAATCGCGACCCCAAGAGGGAGGCTCAGAAACAGGAACCTTCACTGAGTTCATTATCCCGATCCACCAGATCCTGGCACAAGTGAAGAACAAGCCGTGGGTGAGAAGACCACCACCTATGAGGGGAGATCCCTCTATGAGGGACACCAATAAATACTGTGCATTCCAAGGGGAACACGGTCATTACACAAACAACTGCAACACCTGGAAAAGGCATCTTGAGGAGCTGGTCAGAGACGGCCATTGCACAGAATTCGTTGCAAAGAAGGCCATCCAGCAGATCGAGGATCGTGATGCAGTTGCCAAAGAACCTCCCCAAAAGGTCATACGGATCAACACCATTCTAGCTGACTCCCAGGAGTCCGGGCTGACCACCAAGGAGCGTAAGAGAAAGATCGTGCAGACGACTTATGTCTCCCAAGTCACAACGGGCGTACCAGTCATTGCAGATACACCCATCATCGGCTTTCAGAAGAAGGACTTGATCGGGCTTGATCTGCCGCACAATGACGCCCTAGTAATCTGCATCCAAATTGAACAAGCTGTGATCGAGCGAGTTCACGTCGACGAGGGCAGCGCAGCCAATATCCTGCAACTATCGGTTATCCAACAGATGGGATTGGAGCCCAAGATTAGCAAACTTGCTAGATCACTCACTGGCTTCAATGGGGCCACGTCAATCACTGTTGGGACAATTGACCTAGACGTCCACTCACCCCCAGTGGTCTGCTCGCAAACCTTCATGGTCATCGACGAGGTCTCTCCCTACAACGGGATTTTGGGCCGACCATGGATCAGCAAGATCGAAGCCATCACATCTGCTTTACACCAGAAGATCCGTTACCCCATCCCTGGGGGCGGGATCGGGCAGATCAACAATGACCAAGCTATGGCGAGGAGATGCACAGCGCAAGGGCTCAAGAAGAGCAAGCAGGTGCAGTTCACACTAGTAATGTAGTCTACTGACGTGGTAGGACACACTCCCAGCAGACAAGCAAGCCCGAACCGGAGGGGAGTTGCTACCTCAAAATAGCAATTAAGGAGCCAGGATCAAGGCGAGGGAATCCACCCGGAAGACTCCCCTGAAAAGGGTTGGAAGCCTGACGATGACGTTGAACTAGTACCCCATGATCCTGGCCCGCCAGACAAAGAAGCGCAGATCGGCTCTCGCCTGAACCCAAACGAGAAGGATCGAGATGAGGGAATCCGCCCGGAAGGCTCCCTTGAAGAAAGTTGGAAGCCTGAGGAAGACGTTGAGTTAGTACCCCTCGATCCTGACCAGCCAGACAA